AAGATTGAGCACAATGGAGGGCATTTCTCCATATTATTCTTGCGATCTATAGATAGGAGTGGGATTAAGGGTGGGGGGTTTCATCTTTAACCTCTAGGCCTGATCAGCAGCGCCAGCAGACCTTGTCACTGACCTCATGCCTGCTACTTTCAACTTTTACTTCCTCCTCTGAGACAAGAGACAGGACCAACGGGTCTCTTCCCTCAAGGCAGTGTTTTTCAGCTCCAATTGTGCATACAAATCACCTGGGACCTTGATAAAATGCATATTCTTATTCAAAAAGTAAAACAGAATGGAGCCAAGACATGAGCTAAAGCTACAAAAATCTCTTAGAAGAAAACATTGGTGTAAATCTTTGTGACCTTGGGTAAGGCAGTGGTTTTTTTTTGTTTGTTTGTTTTGTTTTTTGTTTTTTTTTTTAAGAAAAAGAGAAAGAGGGAGATTTTCTTTTCTTTTTTTTTTTTGAAAGAGAAAGAGAAAGGGGGAGAGAGAACAGGAGTCTTGCTTTATTGCCCAGGCTGGAATGCAATCTAAAAATAGGTATTTAAAACCTCTTTTATACCGATAATTGTGCTTAACAGTGGAGACAGGAAGGAATAAGGGAAGAAAATAAACAGCCAACTAATATTTCATTTTAGTCTGTGAAATGCTATGCAAATGCTGAAGAGTGATTTACTTCCAATTATGTGGTCACTTTCAAAATAGGTGTAATATGATACTGAGAAAAATGTACTGTGGACCTGGGGAGAATAATTCTATAAATATTCACTGAGTTTACTTGTTCCAGGTCTGAGTTCAAATCATACATGTCCCTGTTAATTTTCTATCTCATTGATCTGTTGAATATTAACAATGTGGTGTCAAAGTCTCCCGCTATTATTGTGCGGGAGTCCAAGTCTCTTGATAAGTCATTAAGAACTTGTCTTACGTATCTGGGTGTTCCTATATTGGGTGCATATATATTTATGATCATTGACTCCTGTTGTTGCATTGATCCTTTTACCGTTATGTAATGTCCTTCTTTGTTTCTTTTAGTCCTTGTTACTATTAAAGTCTGTTTTGTCAGAGACGAAAGTTACAACTCCTGTTTTCTTTTTTTGCTCTGCATTTGATTGGTAAGTCTTCCACCAAGCCTTTGTTTTGAGTCTTTGTGTGTCCTTGCTTAGGAGATGGATCTGGATACAGTGAACCGATAGGTTTTGACTTTTTATTCAGTTTGCCTGTCTTTGATTGGGGCATTTAATCCATTTAAATTTAGGATTAATACTGATATTTGTGAGTTTAATGTTGTCGTTTAATGCTAGATGGCTATTTTGCCCATTAGTTGATATAGATTCTTCGTTATGGAGATAACTCTTTACCTTTTGGTAAGTTTTTGGGATGACTGATACTGGTTGTTCCTTTCTATGTATAGTGCTTCTTTCAGAAGCTCTTGTAAAGCAGGCCTGGTGGTGATGAAATCTCTGAGTGCTTGCTTGTTCGTGAAAAATTTTATTTTTCCTTCATTAATGAAACATCTCCCTGCCTTGGTTAATGTGCTTCTTAACCAGATATAGCTGTAGCTTCATTTCCTTCTTACTTAATTTTTTTTATTTTTTGAGATGGAGTCTTGCTCTGTCTCCAGGCTGGAGTGCAGTGGTGCGATTTTGGCTCACTGCAACCTCTGCCTCCTTGATTCAAGCGAGTCTCCTGCCTCAGCTTCCTGAGTAGCTGGGACTGACTACAGGCTCATGCCACCAGGTCCAGCTAATTTTTTGTGTTTTTAGTAGAGCTGGGGTTTACCGTGTTGGCCAGGATGGTCTCAATCTCTTGATCTCGTGATCAGGTGTGAGCTACCGTGCCCGGCCTATTAAGGTAACCAGTTATCCCCCACTTCCTGACAGCATCCATTTAGAGACCCCTGCTTCCTTGAACCCTAGGCAAGACCCTGCCCAAGAACCCTACCTAATATTCATCCAAATCTTAAATCCTTTCTGACATCTTATTGAGTCTTTTGCACAGTTTTTGGAGGTGTGCTCCCTTATACAGTGAGCAGTTAACCCAACTTGTTCTGTGTGGATTGTGTTCCTGAATTATCTGGTCTGGAGCTGCACAGTGGTTGCCTTATTCAGATAGAGCTTGCATTTTTAATTTTGTCACAGTCTTCACAGTCTCTTATATCCCACTAGTGTTGGTCACATTCTTTGGGCATTCAAATTTGCGTCTTGCCATGGACTGTCATGGGTTGAGGACCATCTGATTGGGTCCCTGATTAAGGGTATGTGTTAGATAACATCAGATCTGGGGTCCTCCTAAGTGATGACCAGTGACTTCAAACTCCCACAAAGTGGAGTTCAATTTACACAGCATCCAGGGTAGGTTGCTGGGGGGAAACTCTGCTGGAGGGAATGAAGATCATCAGGAAATCAGCACCAGCTCCTATTTCACACATGAGATTCTGTGAAGCTGGGCTGAAACAACTCCACACACTGATGCTTAACACAGCTTACTGGCTGAATGTCTAATCAGATCTTAATTCCTTGGTAATTGCTGGCCAATACCCTGATCTTGAATATGTCTTTGAATGAACAGATGTGCTGTTCAGTGAAAGGATAATAAACTTGCATATTACAGTTTCAGAAAATAAAAATCCCTGGTGGGTGGTGTCTTTGATTAAAGTCAGCTTGTTTTAGTTTCTTCCTGGTTCTTGCAGTCCATCCACTGGAAAATAGTTTGCTCATCAGAGCAGACTCTAGACAGGCACAGGATGTGAGCACTGGACCTTGGCAGCATCTAGTGACATCCCCTAGGGCTGCCTTACATATGTCTCCCACAGAGTTTACGCCAGTGCCGTGCCTTGGGCCCAGGTTTTTTTGGATGCTTATTCCAGAGCCAGCTGCTAAGCTGATTAATGGGTCATCCTATGCTTCAGGGACCTCATCCTAGACCCTGCCTGATGCAACCTGGCCAAGGACTGGGGAAAGGGATGGAAAGACGGAGACCCTGGTGGGGCTAAGCTATCAGAGCCAAAAGACTTCATTCTAGGAGGCAGGTGATACCCTGATTTTACAGGAGAGAAAAATGTTTCATCTGAAATTCCTCTGGTGGTGGGAATGGAGACTGGGGGTTGGGGTGATGCAGAATCCTGGTAGAGGAGAAGGTGAGTGGTATTGACGGGGTTGGGGGAATCTTACATGTCCATCCATTTTGAACCACTGCAAACCATCCGGTCCTTCTTCCCAGGGTTCTTTGTGCTTGCTGTGTCCCTCCCACCCCGGACACCAGAGGGCAGTACTAGTCCACACCTTGGCCTCCCTGGAGATGTTTGGGAATATCAGAGCAGTGCTCTCCACCCACCAGATTCCTTTTTAACACCTCCTTTTTAACAACTATTTTCTAATGCCCCCTTTACTATCACAAGTGAGATTAATTGCTAATAATATGTACTTAAGCAAATAGTAAATGTAATGCCTTAGCTCTAATGTAAACGACACATAAAGGGAAAGTATGAATAAACTTTCAGTGTGTACTGCTTGAGCACGACTACACTAAATGAACATGATGGAGTCATTATGCTTGTGCCTATTAGGGGGTCATCACTGACAGAATGCAAGTGCATGTGGGTATGTTGTGTCAGTGATAAACACATCATGATTTTCTAAGGTGGTAAACAATTCACGCTAAAGTTAGAAAATAGGGGCCAGGCACAGTGGCTTAATCCCAGCACTTTGGGAGGCCAAGTTGGGTGGATCACCTGAGGTCAGAAGTTGGAGACCAGCCTGGCCAACATGGTGAAACCCCGAATCTACTAAAAATACCAAAAGTAGGCAGCCGTGGTGCTGGGCGCCTGTAATCCTAGCTACTCAGGAGGCTCAGGCAGGAGAATCACTTGAACCTGGGAGGTGGAAATTGCAGTGAGCTGAGATCGCACCACCTGCACTCCAGCCTGGGCGACAAGAGTGAAACTCTGTCTCAAAATAAATAAATAAATAAATAATAAAATGGAATATAGCTGTCCTTTTATTTACAAGATTGTTGCATTCTTGGAAATTTCAATGTATATTAAAACTGCAAAAATTATTTTTTCAATGCATGAAATGGATTCTGTACTTCTATAGTTATAAACAAGTTTGTCATTTAGTCCTACATGAATATCTAGCAGGAGAATATTTGAAAATCAAGTTTTGTTTTGTTTTGTTTTTTAGTGACAGGGTCTTGCTATGTTGCCCAGGCTGGCCTTGAACTCCAGGGCTCAAGCCATCTTCCTGCATAACTGAGATTGTAGGTGTGTGCCACCTCACCCGGCTTAAAATTCAGTTATTTGTGTGTGTGAACTCCCCATGTATTGCATGAAGTCTGGCAGCTTTGCCCCCATTCAGTGCAGTACCTCCACCTCCACCCGTTTTGTTGCCATCATTGTGACCACTAAAAACATCCCTGCAAATTTGTTGTCGAGACAGAATCTTGCTTTGTCACCCAGGCTGGAGTGAAGTGGTATGGTCATGGCTCACTGCATCCACAACATCCCAGGCTCAAGCAATCCTCCTGCTTCAGCCTCCAAAATAGCTGGGTCGACAGGTGTGCACCAATCACACGCAGCTAGTATTTTTGATTTTCTGCAGAGGTGGGGTCTCACTTTGCTGCCGAGGCTGGTCTCGAGCTTCTGGGCTCAAGTGATCCTCCTGCTTTGACCTCCCAAAGTGCTAGGATTACAGGCATGAGCCACCATAATCCCTACAAGTTTTAAAAACAGCCCTTGGAGGAGGTGCCCTCCTCACTGAGAACCATTGGCTTTGTTGGCCTCTGGAGGGCTAGAAGCAGTTGAGCTGCTGGTAAATATATTTGCATTATGCTGTTTAAGGAACTGAACAAAGTTTGCTTGTTCTCCCACGACATTCTTTTGAGACCTTAGCTTAAGAGCCACTACTCTGAACCACTGCTCAAGGACAGAGAGAATTAGGAGTTGTATGGTGTGCTGGATGGTGGGTGGATTATGTACATATTTATACTCCCAACACCAATTTCCAGGGGAGGCCAAGAACAGCCAAGTTTCATTTACTTGTGCAAATATAGGCATGAGCAAGAATGTTCTAAACAATGTAATGATTTTCAGCATCAATTACAGAATTTCCTCTGATCATCCAGTTGGGTTACAGATGAACAACTTCAATTTAAGCTTTGACTTTTAAAACTCCCCCTCTGCTTCCCGATGAACCAGGATAATTCCTAAAATTACACCCAAACAAATCTGTCTTGACACATTGGGTTTTGTTTGCCTTAAGAAAAATTTAGAATATAATATGGGCAAGGAGGCTGGAATGAGGTTTTGGATGGCACAAGGACGTATACTCAATTCTGTCTGGACCACTGATACAAAATCATTCTCACTTCATTTTCAGGGTTTCCATAATTGTAGCAATTATCTCAGAAACATTTTTGTTCACACTTATTTGGATAAACTTTTCTGGAGCTGCCGGGGGCTCTAGAGTCTCGAACTGGGACTGCAATAATTCAGGGGGCATAAAATGTCCCTGTCTTTTGAGTAAGCGTTCAGAGATGACCTCAAATGACCCACTCAGATGGACCACCAGGAGCTGTATCTTAGCCCACTTTGCTTCCCTTCCCGACTCCTTGCACTTCGGAGCTGCACCATCTTTTCCTTGTGTTAATATGTCTCTGTACATTTTCTTCAGGGCTGAACAGGCTAGAACCACATGCTGTCCCGAGGCTACATCTCTGTTTTAAAAAAGAAAAAAGGAGGCAAAAGAATGAAGACATTTAAAATAACCTCTGTCAATTCTAGGTGCAGGTTCCAGTCCTACTACCTGCCAATGGAAGGCGTTAGAAAACAGTGGTTAAGCATCAGGCAGTCCTAACATCGAGTTGAAGATCTTCTGCTAGTAAAGTGAACAATCTTGGGCAAAGGCATTGACCTCTCTGAGCGCCAGTTCCTCATCATCTGTTAAGTGGGGCTACACAGGGTACCTGCCCATAGAGCTATCTTAAGGAAAACACTGTTCGAGATCTCTGTTATACAGATATGCTCAGGAAGTGTTGGTTCTGCTTCGATGGATGCAAGACGTTGCTACATCTCAGCGTGTGGACACAGGGCTCCCGGTATGCCCCTGTGCCATGCAAACAGCCAAGCTCAGGTCTCTGCAGGATGTTCACGGATCTGCATTCTACAATGGGCTTCTCCCCATTCCTACTCTACACTGTCTGGGGGAGAGGTGAAGAGCTGGAGAAAGCAGGAGAAAAGGGAGCATCAGCCCCTCTGTGGGCGAGGTCAGCAGCATATGAGAGGTTTCTAGGGATGCACTAAGGAAAAAACTCGAGCCAGAAACAGAGGCAGTGCGACACAGCACCAATAAGGGGAAACCTGTGTGCCAGAGACCACACCAGAGAGTGAGCCACGGCTTCCAGTCGGCTGCTGGGTGTGGGACGCAGTCATCCTGGGGCCAGGACAGGACTCTAGAGTTAGGAGGTGGTGCATAAATTCTGGCTTATGGATCCAGCATAAAGTTCTCTTCAGGATGAAAGTTCTGAAGGAAGGGGCCTCTCCTGCTCTTTTTTTTTTCAGCCAATAAATGGCTAGCAAATATAAAAATGAAGCCATACTCCCTTTTATGACTATAAAATGACAGTACTATAAAAATAGACTCTCATGAGTTTATTATGTTAGAGACCCAGGTAGGCAGACATTTTCAAACCTTGAAACCCTAAACCGTAAACCCCTAAATCAAAACTCAGCCTTTGCAAAGACAGGGCTGCCAGCCACAACAGGGTGTGAAAAAAGCAAACTGAATTTTTAACCATTTAAGTATATTCTAACTTCATATGGCCCAGATGGTTTTAGATGGATAAAATATGATTTCATCTTAGAAAGCAAGATCTGTAACTCCCTGCCTTTTCCTTATCCTGCTCCATGTCCCAACCAGGATTTCCACTGGGGTCAGGCCCACAGATGGGTGGGGTGGGGGGGGACCCTTTTTGCTCAGGGGCATGCTGCAGAGCTGGGCAACGTGGACTCCAATCCTGGCGACTTATTACCTGTTCACTCACAAGTGACCTCAGGCCTTCCTGGTTGTCACAGCTTGAAGCAAAGAGAAGAAAAACTGATGACTGAGGTAGGTAATAACAGAAGTGGCATCAGTGGACATTTTTTGAGCAGTTCCTACGTATTAGATAGTGTTCTGTTGCCCAACACCAACTCACTTACTCCTTACAATAATCTCTGAGTAGGAACTAGGTTAATTCCCATTTTACTGAAGAAACAGCCTCATGGAAACCAAGTGGTTGATCAAGATTGCTAGCTAGTATCTGTGGAGCTGTCTAGAACGTTTGTCTCCAGAGCCTGACTAAACTCCAGCTGCCTGTGGCTGGTTGTAATCATTGTGGTTACTTGATAGAAGTGAACTCAGTTTCTGGAATCCTTTACCATCAGTCAGTTGTGATTTCAGGAGTGTATTTTTTTACCTGTCTTTTCTGAGGGTTTTCTTTACTTGCTGGCTTTGGCTTATGCCAAGGCCCAGTGGTCTCTTACCTTAGTAAAATGTCATGCAATTTACAGAGCCATGGAATCCGGTCCTGAAAAAAAAAAAAAACCAAAAATCCAGACACAATGTGACTTCCTGCATGTATTCTTTAGGTAGCTCTGATCTCATACGAAGAGAGATATTCACATAAGCCCTTATGTCAGCTGTCCCCTGGTCCTATTCTTCGACCCTCTGAAGAACAAAACTCCCTTCATATAAAAGTATTTTAAGAAATTTATATTTTTGCTGAAGAGAAGACAGAAAATTTACATAGCACATGCTACAGTGTTTCACAAAGAAATCCTCCTAAGACAAGTAAATTCTCTCCTCCTTCCTGGCGTAAATCTTGATTATTGGCCATAATGCATTGAAAAACAGAACCAAAAATCTATTATTGAAAATTTTAAACACACTGAAAAGCAGACAAAACTGTACAAAGCAAACCTCTGTATACCAAAAACCCAGCTTCAGCAATTTTTTTTGTTTGAAACAGAGTTTCACTCTTGTTGCCCAGGCTGGAGTGCAGTGGTGCGATCTCAGGTCACTGCAACCTCCTCCTCTTGGGTTCTAGTGATTCTCCTGCCTCAGCCTCCGCCTCCTGAGTAGCTGGGGTTACAGGCATGTGCCACCATGTCTGGCTCATTAGTTTTGTATTTTTAGTAGAGATGGGGTTTCTCCATGTTGGTCAGGCTGGTCTTAAACTCCTGACCTCAGGTGATCCACCCACCTCTGCCTCCCAAAGTGCTGGGATTATAGGCATGAGCCACCGCACTGGGTTGGCTTCAGTGTTTTTCACCCATGATTAGTTTTGTTGTATATATGCCCCAATTACATCCCACATCCCAAAATAATCCCATCCTAGATTACTCTGAAGCTGATTCCAGAAACATGATGTGTTTTGAAAAGTCCTTGCTTTTAGGCATTTGATTACTGCCATTTTATTTAGGATTTTTGATTTTATATACTTGAGATGGGCCTATATTTTAAAAATATGGTCCAAATTAAATGTTGGTATCAAGGTTTCACTAGCTTTATAAAATGAGTAGGATAGTTATCCCTCTTGTCCTATTCTTTGAAACAGCTTGTATATAATATATTATGTTTGATAAAACTAATCTGAAAAACCCTCTGGGCCTGGGGCCTTTTCTGAGGGGAGATCTTTGATTACAGATTCAGTTTCTTTAATGAGCATTGTATTGTATTCAGGTTTTCTATTCTTGATTCAATTTTGGTCGCTGCAACATTTGGTAGATGGCAGGAAGAGACCACACTTAAGACAGCTGAGCCACCCTCCCTGCCTGCCCTTCCCATCCCTTGCTGCATCCTTTTACTTTGCTAAGGAATCAGGAACTTGGTGGAAGCCAGGCGGCCACACAGCAGGAGCAGATTCAGCTCATTTCAGCCCAGCTTCTAGGCCTCCAGAATGCGGAACACAGTTCATATCTGTAGGTTACACTTGCTGTATGAGGTAGTCACTTTTGATCACCTTTATCATTACTTCAAAGGAGGAACATAAACAATCCACACCCTTACTATGAATTATACAGCTCTGGACCTTCTGCTTCTAAAGCTAAATGCAGCACCAGCAAGGTCACATTTTCACCGGGGAAAAAGCAGGTGTCCCTAAGCAGTGTCTGGCACTAGATCACTGCCATTCAATCCTGTTTCCCCCACAGTATTGGTATTTTTCACTGAAATGATCCAATTTTGTCTAAGTCTTCAAATTTACTGGCATCAGGTAATTGTGCTTCTTTCTCACCAGAGATCTATTTTTATTTTGTCAAACAACTGGCTTTTGTTCATAGTTTATTTTTTTCCACGACATAGCCCTCAGGAGATTTTGAGAACATGTGCCCAGTTTGTTTTCACTAGCATTCATTTCTATTATTTCCTATATTTATTTTTTTCTACTTCAACTAGCTTATTACTTTTTATTCTTGTTATTTCTCAAAAATGTATTTAAAGGCTATAGTTTCCTTCTAAGTAATGTTGTAACTGCATCCCACAAATTTTAATTGATAGTACTTTTGTTGTACCTTACTTAATAATTTCCATTATGATTTTTAACTTAGAAATTTTTATATGAATGTTAATTTAAAAAAAATTTTCTTATTCATTTTTAGAGTTCCCAATCATTTTGTGTGTGAATTTTTATTATTGATTTACAGTTCATTATAGTAAAAAATGTGACTGGTATGATACTAATTCTTTGAAATTTGCGGCAATATTCTTTGTGGTCTAGTACATGTCAATTTTTATAAATGCCCCACATGTACTTGAAAAGAATATCATTTTTTCATTAATGCTATGACAGGCTTGATACATTTATTCATATCATCTATATTCTTAATAATTTCTTTTGTCTACTTCATGTATCAATTTTTCAAGAAAGGATTTAAAATTCCTCCATTAGACTGAGAATTTGACAGTCTACCCTTCTGTCTTTGTAAATGTCAGAAAATGTGTTTATTTTGTGCTTACTCATGAATAAGATTTTGTTAGTTGGTGAAGAATTCTTGGTTGACATTTTTCCTCAATAGTTTGAATAATTATTTCATTTTATTTGGGCCTTTATTGTTGAGAAATCTCTTCTAGCGTATTAGGCAGTCCTTTAGAAAATAGATCTTATCTTTGGTAGCTTTAGGTAGGAAAAAGCCTCTTTGTCTTTCAGGCACTTTGCAATTTTACTCTTGTCCTGCTCAGGACTTATTTTGCATATTCAGCGTGAGTACTCATACCCTGGAAAGTTGTTATTATCTCTTTGAATATTGCCTTTCTCTTACTTATTCTAATTACTTGGGTTCCTTTTAGCCATATGGGAAGTTTGACATTTTATCAAACACATCTCTTCATTGTTCTTGAATATTTTCTGTTTAGCTCTCTTTTTCATCCTGGGTAATATCCTCCAATCTGCTTTTCTTCTAATTCACTAGTTCCCTCTTCAGCTGTATCTAGTTTATTATTTAATCCATCTCCCATCTCTACAGGGTCATCAAAACCTCCCCCTCCTGCCTTCCTGGCTTTTATGCAGTCCAAAAATATAGGGGAGTGGGTTATTATGGTTTAGTTCAGCCTTGCCATGCTTTGATTTTGGCACATGAGATGTTCCTGTTTTGCTTTGGACTTTGGCCATTTTTATTTTCCCTTGATCTTTTCCAGGAGGATCCTTTTAAGCTCTCCAGCTCTGAGTAACCACCTTTAGCTCCTGGGTATCTCCCCTGGGCTCAGGCCATTTCTTATTCGGAGTAATTTGATCTTCAGTAAGTAAAAGGTTATTCTACCAATGCTACCACTTTGTGCTCAGCAAGTCAAAAACCCTTTAGTTACCAGGATCCACCCTCCATAGAAGGAAGAGGAGAATTAGAAATAATATTTCTTTTTTTTCATATCAAATAAATGAGTATTTTTAAAGTATCACATACTAATGTAGGATTGAGGGTCCTGTAAGTTTACTAATCATAGAACTCTACGATTTTACTTCCATGCACACACTATTTAACCAGAGATCACTTAGGAGTTCAAATGTAATAGCTACAAAATTCACAAAAGGTACGGATCAAATGGTTAACAGCCACATAATTTATACAAATTATAATCTAAATGTCAATAGCTTCATAATTAATATAAATCATTACTTAAATCACAAGTTACTGTCATATATATACTTAGAGCTGAAATGTACTTAACAAGTGAAACATCTGTTTATGTTGGCACTTGTCTAGTGGGTATATTTAGTGGAACAAGTGTGGTTTTTTGTAAATACAGTTACAAGACGATGAGGCTTACCAGCGCCATATTTGCAGACCATATGGTCGATTTTTATAAATGTCCCACATATACTTGAAAATAGTAAGTATTATTTACTTTTCATTAACGATTATGCAAGACTTGATGCATCTATTCAAACCTGTATCCTCACTCATAATTTCTTTCGTCTGCTTGATGTATAAATTTTCAAGAAAGGTTTTTTGAAATTCCTCCATTAGACTGAAAAGTTGACAGATTGCCCTTTTGTCTTTGTGTACATCAGAAAATGTCTTTGTTTTGTACTTAATAAAGTACAAAATAAAGTTATTAATGTTAGAATATATGAGGAGACTTCATGTGCTCTTGGAGAAGAGTATATATATTTAATGCTTATTATTGGCAAGATTTTCTAGAACATCCTGCTAAAAAACTAGATGTTCTGGACACTCTGTGAAGAGAAAAAAAGTTGGACAGGCTACATTTATGCAACTTGAAACCACCATTGCAATTCAGTGTTTTCTGGGCTTATGGCGGGGAATGGGGAAGAAGGCTGTCAAGGATTATAGGCTGCAGGGGTAATTAGCTGGACTGACTGAGCTCTGCAGCATTTTTTTGATGGAAAATTGCCCCTGGGGAGAAGCTGCCCATTCAAGCAGAAATTTGGATTTCTGCTTTCCTTTATCCATTTATAAGTGCTTATTGTGTGTGTAGGGAGACCCAGCCACTGCTCCAGTTGCTTTTGGTCCAATACCCTAGACATGATCACTCTAATTCCTAAGGTACCATTTGAACTCATATTTCAAAATTCCTTTCTTTCTTGTATTCCCTTTGTAATTAGCCAAGCTTTTCTACCACATTCATGGCCTAATGGAGATGAAAAAGATAATACTGTTATATATTGGTTTTTTTTTTTTTTTATCTCTTGGATATATTTTCTAAAACAGCTCCTCTAACAGACAGTTGCAATGAAAGAAGGTGCTGGGCCTTGAAGCCTTCCAAATTAGCAGGATGGTCTACTTCCCACCCTGGGATTCAATCTTATAAAGATGTGGCACCTCCTGGCCTGCAGGAAGGGAAGCAGTGGCCACATACTTGGTAAAATGGTAGAATAAGCAGTTAGGGGGCTGATTTCTAACCCCAGAGTAGGTTTTACATGAAAATGGAGGCAACTGCCTTCAAATCATAGAAATTATGTCAACTTTATAAAGCTATGAGTCAAAGGATTTATCTTCTTAGAGAAAATGAGGGCCACAGCAAGGTGCTTTCCTAAGGACTTGGAAAAGAAGGAAATAAGATTGTTCTCTA